ATAATTATATGTGATGCAGTTATAGGCGTGTAGGTTACGTACGTGCGTCTCACAGCGGCTCCGTTCACAGTAAATGCTGTGCCGCAGGAACTGTTATCATTTACATGTGTGGAGCAGCTCAAACTCCATCTCTGCATGTCGTTGTGAGTTTGGGTTTATTATAACGTTCATCTGGGAACGCAACGTGCGCCATTTCATCAGATTTGTTAGGGAAATTATTTATAAATCCACGCAAACACAGGAGAATACATCATCATCTTGTGGTTTCAAAATAAAAGCTCAAATCCTTACTCTAAGTTTACACGTTTTGATGTCCACATCTTAAAGTCGTAAAGAAATGGCCAAATATTAAAGATTAAGTGGACATTTGAATTAAATGATGCTTGGTCAATATTAAACAAGTATTAGATCGCACAGTAATGTGTAAAAACAATCGTCAGGCCGTTGGCGCTCCCTGCAGGCCTTCGTTGTAATGCGTACTGTACATTAGCTCTGTTCACTGATCTATAATAGAGATTATATTATTTTATAATTATATTTAGATCAGTGGCTCTATTACATTATAATAAAGTATTTTAACAGTTTTGTTCAATAAAACCATATTTCTTGCTTTTGATACTTTATTTGAACTAATTATTATTGCCTCATTGCTATTATATGTATTTGAAGTCAATTTAAAGGCTATTGTTCACTTAGCCTACATCTATTTTTATTACCACAAAAATGAATTATTAATTATAATATTTTATTATTAGTAGATCAGAACACGTGGACATGTTGTCATTCTTACACTATAATACTGAACTTTGATTTCAGTAATTTGGACTATGAGATGGACACTTGCTTCTTGCACTCTGTTGCACTTTACTTTTGCTTTAAAAAAGGATTTCATAGAAATTTGGATTTCATTTGGAGTTTCACTTCTGAAGTCCTCTGTTCATTTTTTCATCATGCTGGAGATGTCCGTTTAAATATGTTGTTTACACATTTCTAAGAGTACTTTTAATACTTAAAATTTTTAATAACTTTTAATAATACTCTAAACATTGCATTTATTTAATGTGAAAACCCAACTGTTGGGGTTAATTGAAACAGGTTTTTTTCCTCTTTGTAGTTGCGCTCACAGCTGTAATGAACAGAAGCCCAGAACATGTGGATATATTGACATTAAGAACATGCTGACTTTCTCAGACTTTTGTAATTATTTTCTTTTTATTTCGTTTTTATTAGTTTGTTTACATTTTTACTCTTTTAGTTTTACATTTCGTCAAAGGCTTGTTTACATTTATACTTTTTTTATGGTACACTACTGAATGGCAAAGTTGCAAGTTTAATAAAATGTTCTCTAAAAAAATTTTTTTTTGGTCGGAAATTAATCGTTTAGATTAATCGATAAATTAGTCGATAGATTAATCGAAATAAAAAGTCGTTAGTGGCAGCCCTACTAAATCTAAAATACTTTTATTTCAGCTAGTTGCCAGTGCAACAGTTCTCTTAATGTAAAAAAATTAATATAAAAAACTATATAGACATACAAAACTACAAAAAAATGACAAACTTTAACTAAAATTAAAATAGAAAATTACACTGATGAAGAAGAGTATATAATTCTCTCTCACTAAACTATAGGGATTATTTAAAGCTGAATTTATTAGAACTGTATTTTTATTACCACAAAAATGAATTATTAATTATAATATTTTATTATTAGTAGATCAGAACACGTGGACATGTTGTCATTCTTACACTATAATACTGAACTTTGATTTCAGTAATTTGGACTATGAGATGGACACTTGCTTCTTGCACTCTATGTTGCACTTTACTTTTGCTTTAAAAAAGGATTTCATAGAAATTTGGATTTCATTTGGAGTTTCACTTCTGAAGTCCTCTGTTCATTTTTTCATCATGCTGGAGATGTCCGTTTAAATATGTTGTTTACACATTTCTAAGAGTACTTTTAATACTTAAAATTTTTAATAACTTTTAATAATACTCTAAACATTGCATTTATTTAATGTGAAAACCCAACTGTTGGGGTTAATTGAAACAGGTTTTTTTCCTCTTTGTAGTTGCGCTCACAGCTGTAATGAACAGAAGCCCAGAACATGTGGATATATTGACATTAAGAACATGCTGACTTTCTCAGACTTTTGTAATTATTTTCTTTTTATTTCGTTTTTATTAGTTTGTTTACATTTTTACTCTTTTAGTTTTACATTTCGTCAAAGGCTTGTTTACATTTATACTTTTTTTATGGTACACTACTGAATGGCAAAGTTGCAAGTTTAATAAAATGTTCTCTAAAAAAAATTTTTTTTGGTCGGAAATTAATCGTTTAGATTAATCGATAAATTAGTCGATAGATTAATCGAAATAAAAAGTCGTTAGTGGCAGCCCTACTAAATCTAAAATACTTTTATTTCAGCTAGTTGCCAGTGCAACAGTTCTCTTAATGTAAAAAAATTAATATAAAAAACTATATAGACATACAAAACTACAAAAAAATGACAAACTTTAACTAAAATTAAAATAGAAAATTACACTGATGAAGAAGAGTATATAATTCTCTCTCACTAAACTATAGGGATTATTTAAAGCTGAATTTATTAGAACTGTAAGAATAAATACATCGAATTACTTAATAATACATTTTTTGTTGTTGTAACCAATGATAACGCACATTCTTTTCCCTTTCTTCCTCCAGTAATTCAGTCGCTCATTGCCCTGGTGAACGACCCACAGCCAGAACACCCTCTGAGGGCCGACCTAGCAGAAGAATACTCAAAAGACCGTAAAAAATTCTTTAAGAATGCAGATGAGTTTACAAAGAAACACGGCGAAAAGCGGCCAGTGGACTAACAATAATCAGACAAGTGTGTAGCCCCAGACCCCTCCTACTCCTCTGATCCTCTTCCCCTCGCTCTACTACCTTCCTCCCGACACCCAAACGATATCCTCTATCCCTCCCACTTTCCCTCCTTCTCCTCTCCTTTCCACGTGTCACTCTAGTCGAGCTGGAGAAGTACAGCGCAGCTGCAGCCTCCGTCTTCAAGCAGGACGCCGTGAGGACATCCGATCTGAGTTTCTGGTGTTAGCTTGAGGCCCTTACTAACTTTCTACTATGTTGTTTATTTTTCCTTTCTCAACTTTGAAAGCATCAAAATTTGTTTAGAGGATAACTTAAGACAAAGAAGTTGGAAATTGTACAGGGCGTTTCAGTAACGAATGCTGTTTGACCCTTTTGTAATGAGAAAATGAATCATTGCATTATTACACAAAACTTTCAAAAACTACTTTTGGAAGTGACACTTCATTTAAAACAAAGATGGATTGTAATTTATCATGTACATTATTATTAATATGTTGTTGTTCCCTCTTCTTACATTTGTGCTCTCTGATTTCCGCAAAACAAAAAAGGAGACGCAGCGACGGCGACCGATTATTTCATATAACTTTTTTACTTTCACTGCACTTGTTGGGTTGCGCGGTACGTCTAAGGAGCAGGCTACTTTCAGCCCTTTACCAAGCCTCGAATCGGCAAAACCGCTGTAAAGTCCGTAACTAAAGGAGCCGATATTGCTATGAAATACATTTGTTTCGCAAATGAAAAAAAGGAAGGATGAAAACAATGCTCTTTGTGTGAGTGAACGTAATTTTCCATGACGATCACTCATTTTAAACATCTCTTTTAACATGTTTCATAGGAAATTCTTGTATAGTGTTGATCATTTGGGTTTAATCATGGAAACGGCCCCTAGATTTACAGAGATGTACGCTACTGAGAATTATTATTACTCCCATTTTCTCCCAACACAGAATAAACGCAGTAGTTGACCGTGAGTTTTCTAGAACATTCTCTACAGTTTCTTTAAAGGATATCATTGTCTGTCGTATTCCATTTTTACGCCACTCTTTATAATGCAGAGAGGTTCTTCGGGCTTTTTCCTAGTTCAAGGTATTTCAGTAATATTTGCTTATGCATTTGGGTGAAGTCTTTCGCAGAATGCCTTGTTGAAAACATATTTTCGTGCAGCATCAGACTTCAAAAACGCTCCACATTTGTACACCAAAATAAAAAAGAACAAGCAATGTTACACTCAAACATTGGCTAAATTCACTTCTGATCTGCTTAGGGCTTTCATATCAAAATCAACCAATCCAATAGGTTTCCCAAGTTTAAAACGGCATTATGGATTTGTGTGATAAATCAAATTTGAACTCAAGCATTTAGTGATTGTTTAACCTGAATATATTAGCATTAGTAAACTATATATTTATGAGGACTACTACTTCAACCCCAAACTGTTGCTTCAATTACAGCTTATTTTAAAATGCCATTAATGGCCTGAAACGTACAGGTGATAAACATGTTAACCCTAATATGTGACAAAACGGTGAACTCTCCAAATAAAGGCTATTTTGACCTAGTTCTGAATGAATGTTTCAATAGGATGGATGCTCGGCTTACAAATGTATTCCTATGGTGCAACTGGTTGGTTTAAGCACATTATAGTGTTTACTAGTACATACAAAATATAGTGCAGCGAAATTGCGGTGCTCATTTTTTTACTTTCAGTCCTAAATCACTTTCACCATTGTAATACTTGTTTCAAAGCCATTTTTAAATTTCAGAAAGAAATCCAGAGTTAAATTGACTTTTTATTTTAGGTTCATAAAAATATAAATACATTCGTTAAAAACATTGTACCCAAAAATACCTTTGATTTTTCAATATATAAAGTAATTGCTACATGTTCAGCTGATTTCAAATCTTCATATAGTTTGTTAAAGTCATAAATATGGCTTTGCTGTTAGATTTTACAGTTCTCTGCAATATTAATATCTGGATAAAATAAAATTGCACCTTTCTATTATAAGGATGCAGCCCTCTAAATTGAAATGACTGGCTGCTTAAAAAAAGTTAACTAAACTAAATGTCTTGTTGAACCATTTAAAAACAGGTCAATCTAATAGTTGACATTTTAAAAACAGATCAATCTAATAGTATCTTGTGTTTCTGTTGAATAATTAGTATAATAGAGTTTTGGCTCTACTTCAAGTAGCAGCTTCAAATTGTTTGGTATGGGCTTTGGAAGCAGCACACTGAAACTGAATGCCGATTTTTCTGTCTTTCCCAAACCATGAACTCGTACTCTAATGACTAATTGAGGTATGGGTCAAGATCTTAAAGCAGAAGACATTCAGTTTGCAATACCTCAAATCCTCTGCTCTAGGTGTTTAAAAGTCTTTAAAGGCACAGAGGTGGATCCCCTGTTGCCTGTAGTAGTTAAGCACCAAAGGGTCCCTCAAAGTATTCAGCTCGTGTAGTCGGTCTGCGGACTGTGAGAAGTCATCCGGTCCTTCTCCACATCCGCCCTGGTGAGGTTGACTTGGATATCCTGGATGCACCATGAGCTCTGCTGTAACCGGACAATAGGAGTCAGTCGTGGCATCATTGGACCGTATCAATGGGGAGGTTACACGGTCATCTAGTGAAGCTTCCAGCGTGAAGCCCAAAGCGCGTTTCAGGTTGGACACAGACATGTTCTTACCCATGGTGCTCAGGCCCAGGTATACGTCAGGCCATCTGAGAGGATATGAACAACCAGTATGTAGCTGATTCGATTTCATTTGAAAGGACAAATTGGAAAAAAACATTTCATGCATAGTGTATATACAGTACTGCGCCTAATGTATTTGAAGGACAGAACAGACTATTAAAATGTACCCAAACCTGCCCTAATAACTATACAAGATACTATAAATGAGGTAAATATTTCCTAAAACCAACATTTAAAATGTTGCCTCACAAACCTAATTCCATGGCGATGAAAGACCTCGATAGATTCTAGGGCATCTTTTTCAACCTGTGCATTGAAGTCCCGCAGACGCGGCGGGAGGAAGGTGCAAAATTTAAGTCCGGGTTCTATGGGGACCCGTGTGTAGGTGATTCCAAAATCAGAGAGAACTTGTGCAAACACCACTCGCACCTCTGAAAAACATGGTAAAATATAAAAAGCTTTTTAATGACCTTTATTGATCAAAAGTGACAAAACACATTTGTAATATTTCAAATAAATGCTGTTCTTCTGAGCTTTCTATTAATACTAAAACCCGGACAAAAATGCATCAGTTTCCACAAAAATATTAAGCAGCACAAGAGTTTTCAACATTTATAATAAGAAGAAATATTCCGTCAGCATCAAATCAGCATATCTGAATGATTTCTAAAGGATCATGAAAACTGGAGTAATGATGCTGAAAATGTGAATTGTTGGATACTCGGTGAAAAGGATTGTTCAAAACAAACCCACTGTTACCTGGCAGAATGTGCACATGCTGGTGGCCGTCCATATGGTAGGGCATGTGGCCAACCAGTTCACAAAATCGATTTACCTGGGCTCTGAGCTCCGCCTCCACCTTTTAAACAGAAAACACAACACAACTTAAGCAGACAACATAACAGAATCAAACAAACCAGGCTGTGCTTGGTTCTAAAGTCTTTACTGTATGTTTAAAGAGGTTATTTCATGAAAAGTACTATCCTTGATTACGTAAATCCTTGGAAATAAAAGGTTAATTTTGAACTAAAACAATGAAAAGCTTCCGCCACAGTCCAAAAACACCATCTACAGAAACTAAGCTTTATTAAACAACCTGTTAAATAAAAAAAGGTTAGAGAGAAGGTGGAAAATGGTTATGTAAAAATATATTACATTTGTTTTTGGTGCAAACACCCTTGACTAACATTAGTGGACTTCAAAAAATAAAAATTAAATGAGAAACATTATGAAACGATGAAACTTTAAATGTTTTAGTTTAGTAAAAGATGGAAATGTAAAGGTATTTTACATCTGTTTTTAGTGGAAACTATTTGGACAAACATTAGTGAAATTTAATAATACAAATTATGAAAAATTATAAAAGTGATTTTACTACCATTTAGGATTTACATAGTGGTAAGCATTTTAACTGCTGCTTTAAAATTTAGCGTACATAATGCCATAACTCCGCTTATGAGCAATAAGAGTAATAAAGTCATTTCATGTTCTTTGAGTAACCTTTGACACTGCTATATAACATGAATACAGTCTGTGATGTAAACACGCTGCATGGTTTGAATGCACTCCCATGGGACTTTCGGTTGGTCTTTATGAGTGTGTTTCTGTGTACCTCTGACGTCTTGAGCTGACCACTCTGCAAAACTTCCCGGAAGCCCATCTTGCCATGGAAGAATCCATCCTTGTTGAGGAGCGTTGATCCCTTTAGAGCCGGAGAGACTGGAAGACCCTCTGAGAGATTCGCATGGAGTCCAATGGGGATGTGATTCCTGTGTGTGAGAACAGCAGTGTTATTTTAGTATCACTGAGATGATATTATAGGTTTTATTACTATTTTGAATATGCTTTTTCGATTTTCCGTTCTCATTTAAATTGTACTTATTTTGTTCGTTTTTGTCTTTTACATTTTTTTTACAACATAACAGAATCAAACAAACCAGGCTGTGCTTGGTTCTAAAGTCTTTACTGTATGTTTAAAGAGGTTATTTCATGAAAAGTACTATCCTTGATTACGTAAATCCTTGGAAATAAAAGGTTAATTTTGAACTAAAACAATGAAAAGCTTCCGCCACAGTCCAAAAACACCATCTACAGAAACTAAGCTTTATTAAACAACCTGTTAAATAAAAAAAGGTTAGAGAGAAGGTGGAAAATGGTTATGTAAAAATATATTACATTTGTTTTTGGTGCAAACACCCTTGACTAACATTAGTGGACTTCAAAAAATAAAAATTAAATGAGAAACATTATGAAACGATGAAACTTTAAATGTTTTAGTTTAGTAAAAGATGGAAATGTAAAGGTATTTTACATCTGTTTTTAGTGGAAACTATTTGGACAAACATTAGTGAAATTTAATAATACAAATTATGAAAAATTATAAAAGTGATTTTACTACCATTTAGGATTTACATAGTGGTAAGCATTTTAACTTCTGCTTTAAAATGTAGCATACATAATGCCATAACTCCTCTTATGAGCAATAAGAGTAATAAAGTAATTTCATGTTCTTTGAGTAACCTTTGACACTGCTTTATAACATGAATACAGTCTGTGATGTAAACACGCTGCATGGTTTGAATGCACTCCCATGGGACTTTCGGTTGGTCTTTATGAGTGTGTTTCTGTGTACCTCTGACGTCTTGAGCTGACCACTCTGCAAAACTTCCCGGAAGCCCATCTTGCCATGGAAGAATCCATCCTTGTTGAGGAGCGTTGATCCCTTTAGAGCCGGAGAGACTGGAAGACCCTCTGAGAGATTCGCATGGAGTCCAATGGGGATGTGATTCCTGTGTGTGAGAACAGCAGTGTTATTTTAGTATCACTGAGATGATATTATAGGTTTTATTACTATTTTGAATATGCTTTTTCGATTTTCCGTTCTCATTTAAATTTTACTTATTTTGTTCGTTTTTGTCTTTTACATTTTTTTTTATGTAAGTCTATATACATTACCAGTCAAATGTTTTTGAACAGTAAGATTTTTAATGTTTTTTAAAGAATTCTCTTCTGCTCACCAAGCCTGCATTTATTTGTTTCAAAATACAACAAAAGCAGTAATATTGTGAAATATTTTTACTATTTTAAATGACTATTCAAATTAAACACTATTTCTGTGATCAAAGCTATATTTTCAGCATCATTACTTCAGTCTTCCGTGTCACATGATACTTCAGAAATCATTCTAATATTCTGATTTGCTGTTCAAGAACTTTTTATTATTATTTTATTATTATCAATATTTAAAACAGTTGAGCACATTTTTTCAGGATTCTTTAATGAATAGAAAGATCAGCATTTAGTAACACTATACCATTCCAAAGCTTGGAGTCAGTATACATTTAGTTTTAATATATATAATTTTTTTTTTTTTTTTTAAATAATACAATTATTTCGCAATTAAAAATAAAATTTTTCTGAATTTTCTATTCATCAAAGAAACCTAAAAAAGTGTCACATGATCCTTCAGCAATCATTCTAATATGCTGATTTACTGATTATCAATATTTAAAACAGTTGAGCACATTTTTTCAGGATTCTTTAATGAATAGAAAGATCAGCATTTAGTAACACTATACCATTCCAAAGCTTGGAGTCAGTATACATTTAGTTTTAATATATATAATTTTTTTTTTTTTTTTTTAAATAATACAATTATTTCGCAATTAAAAATAAAATTTTTCTGAATTTTCTATTCATCAAAGAAACCTAAAAAAAATCTACTCAGCTGTTTTCAACATCATAATAATAATATATGTTTTTTGAGCAGCAAATCAGAATATTAGAATGATTTCTGATGGATCATGTGACTGGAGTATTGATCACAGGAATTAATTACATTTTAAAATATATTCACATAGAAAACAGTTTTAAATAGTAAACATATTTCAAAAATGTACTGTTTTTGCTGTATTTTGGATCAAATAAATACAGGCTTGGTGAGCAGAAGAGACTTCTTTAAAAAAAAACATTAAAATCTTACTGTTTGAAACTTTTTTGACTGGCAGTGTAGTTTTTTATTTCATTTTATATTTTCATTTTTATTTGGTGTTTGTTATTATAGTAAATCAAGTTAAACAAAATGAAACTTTCTTAAGTGTTTTATATATTTTATTTCATCTTAGTTATTAAAGTAACAAAAATGCTTTTTTTATTTATTATAAGTTTTAATGAACCATAATAACTATACGGCTAACCTCTATACATCTATAACAATGCACCCTATCAGTAGGCCTAGTCTTATCTTTGGCAATAGGTTTAAAAGGCTTGCATGTCATAAGGGAGAGTGTTGTAACATTTTGTTTCAATGTAAGATACTCAAACATTGATATCATATTTTCCTATTTATCTGCTTGAAGTGAAAAGTAGTTCGAAATCAGCCGCAGTACCTTTTAGCCAGCTCTGCCGCGTGCTCCGCTGAGACTGCATTGACCAGAAGAGAGACATTGGAGATCCCACCAGCTTTGAAGCAATCCACAATCCCTTGATTTCTTCTCTCGCAGTACCCGAAATCATCTCCTGTCACCACCAGCTTCACCTTGGGTTGAGGCATCTTCTCCTCGCCTTGCTGATGAAAGACAAAAACACTAGACTATAGACATTGACCAATATATCATCTTCATGATTAATACTGATTACTTTTACAGTAAGCAGAATTTCATTTATTTATTTCTGTATTTTGAAACAATAATAATAACTAAAGAATCTTTAGACAGCACTACAGAATATGCATCAAAATATTTTATAAATAATATTAAGTAGTACTGATAATAATTGTTGCTAATTATGTCATTATATGAAGATTTGCTTGATCTGAAAAGAGCCTTTATTTTAGGCTGTTTATTGTAATCGTAAAGCTATTCATACCTGAAAATGAACTGCAGCTGTTTTATTAATCATTAGATCATTAGACTGAATTTTAAAAAATAATATTCGATTTTATTAAT